AAGTCCGATCTTTTTGTGGCGAGCTTGTTCCGACAGCCTCCCGACGAATTTGGGTCTGTTCCTCCGGGGATTCGGCCCATCACCCGTTGTTCGCTACTGCCCAGACAAATGTGAGACCACTCAGCATGTTTTGCAATTTTGTCATGGGATGCAAGCTGTGTGGAACTCTCCGCCCTGTAACCTTCCCAACATGGTAACATTTCCATCGTTTTGGAGTTGTTTGGTTTATCTTCAAGAAAACCTTGAGCAGGGGTTGTTCTTATTGGCTACTATTGTGATTTGGAAGACATGGGATTTGCGGAACCGTCGACTTCATGGCAATGAACAGAATGGGAACCAGGGGGTAGTTTCTTGGAGTGGAGCATTTCTGCATTCCTTTAATTCGGCTATTATGAGTGCTCATCAACCTCCAACGCGCGCTTTTCCAACCACGTGATCCCCTCCGGCTCAAGGTATTGTCAAGATTAATTTTGATGCGGCATTTCCGCATGGGCAAGATTTCTTTATGATGGCATTTGTAGCGAGGAACTGGCGAGGCGAGTGGCTACGGTGGGGTGTCGAGAGGATACATGGCCGGCCGACGGTGAAGGATGGAGAAGCTCGCGCGGCTGCTGGAATTCTGTGATTATTAATGAGGGTGATTGCAAACAGGTTATGGATGCTCTTCAACGGGGCAACTCATCTTCTTTACCGTTCGGCGCCTTCATTGAGGATTGTTTTATTTTGTCTAGATCTTTAGTTCATTGTTCCTTTTCTTTTGTTAAGAGACAAGGCAATCGCCTCGCTCATGCATTAACTTACTCCACGAATTATGTGAGTATGGAAGGCTCCGGCCTCATTTCGAGTTTGGCTTCTATAGCCTAATAAAATTCTACCTTTTCTCAAAAAAAAATTCATTTTTTTTAAGGTGAAGATTTGGTATTGATCAAATACCAACAGGCTAGGTTTAGGTTTCGAGTCCTGTTGAGTGTAGATTTTATGCTTAATGCGCTTACTTTACGTCGATCTTTTGTTTAGATTTAATTATATTTGTACTTTAATTGATTGATTTTGTGTTTTATAGGTGAAAAACAAGAATTAGGTGTCCATGAAGGAAAAAAGATCAAAAATAAAGGAAAAAATAAGGAAATAAATCAAATTGGAAGAAGGAATCTCGCCACAACTTTGACAGTATCCACCATTTCGAGCATATCTCTCTCATACGAACTCCAAATCAGCTGATTTTGGCGGCATTGGAAAGCTAATTTCAAGGACTACAATTCCTATTTACGCAACATTCCAAAATTCGGACTCCAACATGGCGAAAATCGAAGAACAAATCCTGATCAGGGAAAGTGGCGGAAATTGATTCCTATTAGGTTTCCACTACTTCCTTATCAAGAAAAGCCTAAAAAGTAACAAGTTTCTACACCATAAGGACGAAATTATACACCACAAAACGCGAGGAACGAAGATCAACGAATACTCAAGCATAGTTTTTCTTATTTAATTTATTTATTTTATTTTCTTTATCATAAGAATCACGAGTAGCTAAGTTTTTATTTCTAGGATTTTATTTGGAACCTATGTGGGATTTATGAACAATTTTCTATGATTTTATGCAAGTTTTAATTCCGAATTATTTCTTCTACTTGTTTTATTAAGTTCATGAAACTGGCCACTTTATGTGCTTTTATGTTATTATTAATCGCATGAATCAGAAGATCGGGTTAATAATTAGAACTGTGGTAGAAGAGTCTTTGTGGTATTAACATAGGAATATAGTTAATCTCTTAGGTAGCCATTATTGAGATTTTTGCTTAATGCTTTGTTCTAGAATTAATTGCATAGAAATATAGTAATTGAATCTAGAATCTAGAGTTATTAGAATCGTAATACACGCAGAACCGGGTTATGATTAATTTAGCATCTCAGATTAATAATCCGGGTTAATTGCTTGCATAATTGAAGGAATTGTGGGAGTAATAATCACATAGGGGGAAAAATAAAATCTTAGGCTCGTTTTCTCTGATTAAATCTTCGTTTTAAACTGCTTTCTTGTTTTTGCTTGCTTTTTAATTTATTTTAATTTAGTTAATTCTCTCTAAAGCCAACTGTGTAGGGTGGGCTTGATAATAATTGGTAGAAATTAGCGTCTAGGATTAAATAATTAAATATTCCCTGTGAGTTCGATATCCGGACTTTTAGTCCACTGTACCATATTACTTGTACGATACGTGCACTTGTGTGTAGGTTATCAACCAACAAGTCCCTCTCCCATGCTTCCCCTTGTAATGGAATAATAATAATAATAATAATAATAATAATAATAATAATAATAATAATAATAATAATAATAATAATAAAAAATAGTGAGAGCATCTTAGTAACCCACGATTCAAAGCAACCAAAAGGGAAAAATAATCCTTGTGCTTTCCTTGGAAAACAAGCCAATAAAACTTCCATAGTCTAAAGCATAATCCATCTCAGAAAACTGAAATATTTCACCACCATTAACTATCGTAGCTAGAAAAACTCGAGGAAAATTAAACTCAGTAAAAAATAATAATGTTGGATTGGGCCCCAATAGTAATAGGGCTGATCCTATTCGTTTTGATGTCTCCGGGAGTACTGTTTCAGATGCCGGGCAATACCCGACCCGTTGAATTCGGGAGCTTCACCACAAACGGCAAATCTGTGATCATTCACACTCTACTCTTCTTTGGTGTTTTTACCATCCTAATTATGGCTGTCCAAGTTCGCATTTACACCGGTTAGCGACTTATATTCGCAAAATGCAATTTTTCTACGTACCTATATATTATACTAGGTGTCTCTTGTGTTTTTAAATTTGTTCTGTAAAACTTTTGTTTCGCTAAAGTCCACATGAAGAACGATTTAATTTCATTACATGTGATATAATAGACTGCCTGCTTATTTATTTCATATCGAATGTATCTATCGCAAAATTTGGAAAATCATTTCAATCGAACTTATGTTGTGTGAAATATACACGAGTAACCAGTGGCGGATCTTAGTGTATGGTGGGGTGGGGTGAATCCCATCCTCACTCTATTTTTTTAATACTACTATTTTATTGGTGTTTAATCTAATTAGATCATTCAATTCATTTTTAATATAATTTAAAGAGCTACAATAATTACATTTTGAGCCTCATATTTAATTATTTTGTAATGAATTTTACGAGTAGATTATTAAAAAAAAGTTGGG